AACTCGTCGCGTTTCGTAAGTATTGTGAACTTGTGTGTGTGTGTGTGTGTGTGAGAAGAAAAATCAGACTCGCATGCAACACTTTCTTTCTCTCTCTTACTCTCTGCATAAACTACTTGCCGCTGTTTAGGGTAAATTCATCCGTATTCACTTCGGCCCAACTGGTAAACTGGCTGGTGCTGATATTGAGACTTGTAAGGTTGCATGGCGTACTTGTTGTGAGCAAATATTTAACATACTACCTCTCTCTGTGCCATGTAATTGCAGATCTATTGGAAAAGGCTCGTGTCATCTCTCAGCAATCTTTGGAACGTTCATACCACATCTTCTACCAGATCATGTCTGGTTCCGTTGCTGGAGTTAAAGGTATAGCAAAGAAAATTTCCATTTACACTCGCATTTCATTCGCCCCAGAAAAAAAAAAACATAATACATACATACATACTTTTCAAGATATTATGTCTATATATAAAAAAAAAAAATCAACAACATCGAAAAGAACTACCATGAAACGAGACAATCATAGCGCATTAGAGAAAAGGGTATCGATATAAAATATACCAAAGCTCATACATATGAAAAATATATTTATATATTTTCGAGCGCAATAAGCGTAAAATATGCGGTTGTTTTATAAAACAACTACTTTAAATTTAGGTTTATATTAAACAACAACACACACTTCAACCTTATATCCATAACTTAAACCACCAAACACTTCACACACACACACACACACTTGCTACCAAAAATATACAACCATAAATTACAAGCACGCACCAAAAGTATGAACCCATTACGACCGATATACCATACACTCCTCTCAAACCCAACACAAATTATCACAAATACACATTACAATTACAACATCAATGCACACATATTTATTTCTACCTATATAAATAATAATATTTAATTTTTTTAATCTTTAACTTTCCACTTTTTTACCAAAAAAAAAAAAAATCTATCAACCAAACAAAAAATCCAATTAAAAACCGATATACAAATAAAAAACCCAACCTCAGAAATCTGTCTGTTGTCCAATAACGTCTACGATTACCACATTGTCTCTCAGGGCAAGGTAACAGTCGCCAGTATCGATGATGCCGAAGAATTCACATTGACCGATGTAATTTCCCAGTATTTTTGTTCATTTAAAAAAAATTTCTATATTTTTTGTTAATTTATACTACCTTACCTAGAAATACTTGGTTGATTTCGTACTACCATTAACAAAATATTTTTTTAAAGCAGTGGCTCTACGTATACATACATACATACATACATCGATTGAAATATTTTGTATGCAATTTATTTCTATATATAGTATGTATGTATATATATGTGCGTCCCGCTGTATTTGTAGAATCAGTATTTAGTATCCATTTTTTATATATATTTATTATCTAGCGCACGATTGTATACAATTTAGCAGTATTGTAATGTAGTTAGCTTGCAGCTTATTGAGCGCCACGCCCACAACCCGCAATTGCATATTCATATGTAGCTACATAAGTAGAACCAGCATCAGGAGTACCCCGAACGCAAGCCATATTCCCCTACGTAAATTATGCATCACTAACCAAAACATGTCAAGACGAGAGCGCATAAGCTCTCCCTCTCTCTTTCTCTCTCTCTCCCACTCTACCCACACTAAATTGCTTTGAATTGTCAATCATAAACATTTTATTCATAGTTTTTTGAAGCAAGAGCGATTGGCATTAAAGTAAAAAAAAAGAAAGCGAAGATAGGTCTTTCTGAAGAATACAATTTTAGCGCTAATCACTCTTCCATATCCTTATGGTTTTGTATATCAAACATATATACATATATACATATATTTTTACGTATTTTCAAAACAAATTTTATCACATTTTATTTCATTTCCCCCCAACGAAATCATGCCAATTCGTATTCCATTCGTACCATTCCTTCAACATTCATATTGTCCACCAAAAATTTGCCCAACACCTCAATTTGTCCACATCATCATCCACCACCGCCACCATTACTGCCAACAACATCAACAACAACGATCCCAAAAACAACAGAGTATTGCATGCTATCGAACAATATATACGATTATCGCATCGTATCGCATGGAAAGACAAAAATACCCGGCGTTGACGATGGTGAAGAGTATCAAATTGTTGACGTAAGATACAGTGAAAAAAAAAAGAAGACACACTCCTTTAAATATATACATATTAATGTGACTCACAAATGCTGCTCAAGCAAATAATACAACAAAAAAAATATGATATACTTAAAAGAATTCTATCAGCAAGCAGTCTAAAAGAATAAAAAAACGAAAAAAAACTTACAAAAGACTCACAACTAAGCACTAAGTCTAAAAAGTCTAACGACGCGCAAACAATTTCTTAAAATATTGATTTTGTAAAAAGCCTACCGCAAACTTTTATATACTTATTAAAATCAATTAGAAAAATGTGCAATTTAAAATTAAATAATTTACACTCTGCCAATATTTAACTCGAAGTGTCAAAATCGTCACGTACAATAATCTTTGTGACACAAACCTACGGTTTTGATTTCTCACACTTTCTCTCTCACGCTGTACAGAATACCAACACTTACCTCTAATAAATACTTAACAGCTGTAACATCTGCAGCTCCCTCTCTCTCTCTGTCCCTCTCTGTTGTACAGAATCTCAACACCTACACTACTTAACAGCTAATGTCGCTGTTAATTAACACTCTATGTTGTATCATAAATATTCACTCACGGCAACTATCACGCTATTGGGAGCTTATCTCGCTTTTTACTCATCCCACTGTCCTTAAAAAAAAAAATCACTCACAATTATTTGTTTACACTGTCATTGAGCCTTGTAGAAAACGCTGCCTTATAAAACTGCTGCTATAGATATACTTATATGTATACGTAATTAATGGTTATATAGTTTTTATGATAACAGTATTATAAAAATGGTCTCGTAGGATTCTTAGTCGCAATGAAACTGAAATTAGTGAACTACTTAGCTATTTGTAAGCTGCCCTTTACAAAAACTTTACAAGTAAACTATATCCACAAAGCATTACGACAACATATTACCTATGTAGAGAAAAAAAAAAAGGTTAGGTACACCGCTCACCTTACCATGAAATCAATAAATTCCTGCCAACAATCGCAAACAATTTTACATATTTTCCGAACACAAGTACCGACCCACCGCACCCAACTCACATCGAATAAATATAAAAAATCAGCAATCATATGCCTTACACAATAATTTCAGAACACAAAAAACTCTCGCAGCAGTCATACACTCTCCTTCGCTCTCTCTTATTCCCCCTCTCACATACACTGCATTTTGCGTTTGTCGTTTCGTCATAGTATTTTACTCATTCATTACTCCTTTATATTGTTATATCGTTACGTTTTATGAAAAAAAAATATCGAAAAATGTCAAACTAAATACTATAGATGACATTTTTGTCGAATCATATTGGTGATTATCCTGGAATATGTCAGGGTAAAACAAGGATAACCGGCGTCAACGATGGCGAAGAATTTGAATTGACTGATGTAAGTTGGTGTGAGTCTGTAATGGTTTCCCGCTTCCAATAATATGAATTAGTAACAAACTCTCTTTGTACTTTTACTTAAACGCGCGCACTCTCTCTCTCTCGTTCGTTTTGTCTACCTCTTTCTCTCTCTGCCTTTGAGTATCTGTTATCTGCTAGTATTCTCTATACACATGTATTTATATGTACTTGCGTAAATCTTTTATAAATAAAATTTTCAACCGTTTAGGAAACTTATTTCTTTTTTCCATTTCTTCTTTCATTCCGTTGTATAAAAAAAAAATCCGAGTTATAGTATTAATGTCTTTTCCAAAAATATTTTATAGTTACATGTATTTTTGTACCTACACGGATCTCACATCACTGGCATACCTGAAGTATTAATGTTACTGGTATTTCCTATTTGGATTACTTTGTAAATAAATTTAATTTTCGAACGTTATTCCGGAATTTCTATCTCCTGTAGAAATATCTAGTTACCCTTCTTCCCAGTAGTAATAATATGTAGTTCTACTACTCTTAGTACTCTAAGTAGTATTTGGCCCTTTTGAAATGCATTTACCTCATTAACCAAATACAAATCTCCTTATATAAATATTTGTATATACAGTATTGGCCAATACAATAGCACCCCCATTTCAAAGTGATATTGTTTGCCACTCATGTTTATTTATTTATTTTTAAGAATTTTCAATTAAAATATAGGTCATTCTCTCACAAAACTCACATAAACTCAAGTTTAAAACTTTTTAAAAGACCGCAAAAAAGTGCAACAAATTTTCACCCAAATTTCAAATTTTTTTCTCAGAAGCGGTAGAATTTGTTTGAATACACAATTGTATAGCCCATTCAATTTTAGTCTAATGATGTGCAAGTTTCAAGTGGCTAAAAATTACCGTTGATTTTTTAGAATTTTTTTCGCCGAGGATGTTACGGGTTTCTGCCATATAAAAATAAATTGTGTTTAGTCGTTATATGGAAGCAAGTGAGACCAAAAAAAATTCTAAAAAATCAACGGTAATCTTTAGCGACTTGAAACTTCCACATTATTGGACAAAATTAAATGCGCTATAAAACTGTGAACTCAAAAAAATTCTAGAGCTTCTGAGAAAAAAGTTTGAAATTTAAGGGAAAGTTTGTTGGACTTTTTTGCGGTCTTTTAAAAAGTTTAAAAGATTGGTTTATATGGGTTTTGTAAGAGAATGAACTGTATTTTAATTGAACATTCTTAAAAACAAATAATTAAACATAAGCGGCAAACATTATCGCTTTGAAAGGGGGGTGCTATAGATATGTCCAATACTGTATGTATTTAATATCTTTTTTTTTTTTGTGAAGTAATCACTATAGTTTTAAAAGCAATGGTCAAATAGGGTAAAAATGTATAATTTTTTAGAATTCAAAATATTTCACAACGTCCATTAAATGGTTGAATTCAAATTCTTGGTACAGTGGTTTTGATGCCGGCACAACAAAAGCCTTTTCCTTGATTTACCGCCTACTTCAAGTAACCACCGATATACCAGCGTAATATGCCAACTTATCAAATTTAACGTAGCTTGCCTTACACACACACACACAAATTACATGAAGTCTTATCTTAAAGCAAAAAAAGAAAATTGTTTAAAATGCTTTAAGAAATGACATTTCCATAAAACATTCCTGTTCTTAAAGCTTTTTAAATAACTTTTTTTTATGAATATGGCAAGCGTACACTGAGAAAAATAGTTAAAAGAGTAACAAATTCATTTCGCGCCATGCCATTCAACAACAACAAGCTACCACCGTAACCCCGTTTCTCCATTAAGGGCCGTTTGCTCAAAGCCTGGTTGACACTAATCTCCGCTTAACATCGTTTTCGACGTCTTCGACCCCATGCATATAACATGCTGTGGGTAACATCAATAACGACGTTTATCCGGAGATTATTGTCTACCAGGCATTGAGTAAATTGCCTTAAATAATTTCCACAAACACAAAACACTCACTCTCTCATCACTTCCACACAATCTCTTATTTTCTATTTACATCTCCTAAAGGGAACCCTATACACAAAATTCCAACACTACACCCTATCCACTCACAATTCATCAGATTTGTAATCTCTCTATATACTATGTACCTCCACCCACTGTAATGCAATACGTTTTATTGTCATGTAGTACATTTTGAATAATCGAAAAACAAAATCGAAAAAATTTCTTCTCTCGACTACTGTGCAGATATGTGCCTCTTGTCCGATAACATTTACGATTACTATAACGTGTCGCAGGGTAAAGTCACTGTACCCAACATGGATGACGGTGAGGAATTCCAGCTGGCAGATGTAAGTTTTCAACATACAATCGAAAAAAGAAACTACATAGAGCAAGCCAAATAGAGTAGTTGATGGCTCTATGTAGGCAAGCAACACCACCACCAAAACCACCAAAACCACCACCTCCACCAGCTCCAACGTACCATGCAATCATGCAACAAACACTTGTATACGCATGCCACCGATACTTACGTTTTACATACACACATATAATTGTGGGGAATTACCGCCCATCAGACCAACACTTCCACTCCACCACACCTGCACCCACACTGACACCTCCAACTTTGTTACAACTTTACAAAAATACTTACATATGTGACATGCGTATCTGCATCTGGGAAGATTCCTGACATCTGCTCTCTTTCTACACATATACAGTTCTTCGTTAGATCGCTCGTTTGTGCCTTAACTTTTACACTTTACTGTACTTTAAACTTTTTGATTGCATCTATGACGTTTTTTTTTGTTTTTGGAATGTCTTTGAAGCCCTTACGTGTTTGAGAAAAGAAAATTAATTATCATTGATCTTAGGTTAGAGTATGTTTGAAAACTTTCGTCGAATATATATTTAGTATTTATGCGGCATGTGGTTGTGCCAACACGCCTGTCAGCATCACAGAAAAGCTCATTTGTGTTCTCTGCGGCGTGTTGTCAACTACTCCATAAAAAAGAAATCAACAAAAATTAAATAAATTGCATCCCTTCTTCATTGTCTGCGTGATTGACTGATTGATAAGTAGCTGCACGCCGTATGTAGACCCTTATAGTAGAGCGGGACACTCTCTCTCTCTCTCGCACCGATAGTAGCGGCGTACTACAGAATGTTTAGTTGCATTTGGCATCGAGTGCTAGTTTATGTTATTCTAGTTTGTGTATGCCTAGTTTTTGTAAGGAAGCCCGCTCGTATGCGTTTTTATTTGTTTACTTGAAATTTTCAGTACTTTTTATTTATAAAATAGTTAAGATCAGCATGATAACCGGAAATTTTTAGCTGTTAAAGTCACAACGGCTAGTGAGGCAGCAAAATATATTTTTTTTTTTTATAAACAGATTTTATTTTTTTGCACGCAACTTACATATACATATATCCTATATTAAATGGTTACTAGTTAAATAGTTGTATCCCCGACATTCTACGCTTTCCAAAAAATTCCGGAATCAATTTACGTCTATACCCTTGTGGCTTTTACCAATCCACGAAGTATTTTCCGCCATTTTATCAATTGAGGAAATAGCTTTCTTATTTAGTAGTTACGTATGTAAATATTTGTACGTTTTGTATAAACTTGCATGGAAATTGAAACTGTATACATATGTATGTATAAGCAAACAATTCAACGCAAAGTTATTTTATGAAAATCGAATGCTGGTGCAAATGGCGTATTTTTGTGAAACAAGTTTTCGAGGCAAACAAAAATATTTAGAAACTTAATATTTCAGCCTTCAAATTAAAAATGTTGTTTTAAATTTACATAAAATATTTGCAATTGGTACATTTGAATAAACATGAGAATTGAAAAAAAATAATAATTAATTTTAGACCTTTTACCGATGCTTAAAAAATAATAAAAACCATCGAATACATTTCTTACATTTCTACATTTACATAAATTGTAATTCTTTTTCGAAAAAAAAAACTATCTGAAATGCTTTATGGAGTGACATTTCCGTACAATTTTCCTGCTTCTAAATCATTTCAATACAATTTATTTTTCGAAAGGGGATTAAGTGCTTAGCACGGTCCTAAAATAAAATTTTTTTTAATTTCAATGATTAAAAGGAATGATTTTAATAATTCAAAAAAATTATAAAAAAAATTTTGATATTTTACACAGAAAGAATATTTTTGAAATATTTCTCTAGATTTATAAAAAAAAGAAAATATTCTAAATCTTTATTTGTGTTTTCAAATTTTTTCTTCAACATATTTTATACTGAACTTTATACACATTTGTAGGTGTATAAAAATTAATTTAAAGTTTTTTAATCTAAAAGTACACTAAAGAAAATTTTTAAATATTTTTGTACCAAGTAAACTTTAAGCAAAAAACAAAACGGACTTCAGTAGTCATATAAAAATCCAAGAGTACCGTTAATTTCTTCATGATCCAATGGATCGGATCTAAAGCAAATTAGTATGGAAGAACCTCAGAGGTTTCATGTTTCTTTAAAAAAAAAAAGAAATATGCACAAAATTATGCGGTAGCATGCATACAAAAAAATATTTCCACGAATTGATAACCTCCTCTTTTTTTAAGTCGGTAAAAAAAAATATTTGTGATCACAAAAAGAAAACTATCGAAATATTATCCTATTTTTCGAAGAAATTCGGATTGTTTTTGGTAAATTTTTTAATTTCTTATACAAAAAGGAAAATTTTGAAATATTTTACAACATTTTAAAAATTTTGCTTTCCTAGAAACGTGAAAAAAGGATTTGCAATTTTTTCAAACTAAAAATATTTTTATGGCAAAAAAAAATTTTAATAAACATTAACATTCATAAAACTTTCAAAGAAATTAAAAACGAAAAATAGTTTTGAGAAAATTCAAAAGTACACCATTAAATTTTAAAGCCATCTATCAAAAATAAAAAAAAATAAATCATTCCAACGTATCTTTTTATAACTTTGCGTTAGCTTCTATAGAAATTTTAAATCTGTACATATTTATTTGCACACATATGTATGTATCTTTCTAAATAAGTTTTGGAACGTTGTTGTTAATTTTTTTGCATGTATTTTGTTCCATTAATCAGTATCTACTGTAAGAAACTGTATGTAAACACAAATTTACACACTCACTGCTGTACCAAAAATGCACAGCGAACTGTATAGAAATATGCTTTCTAAGCACCTTAAAAAACTGCCAAAATATAAAAAAAAAACTAAAACTAAAATTTCAACTACTCAAAACCACTATCACATGCAACGCCATACAAAATCAAAACTAATGTCTACAATTCTTTCTCCCTCCCACTATATTCAAAAAAAAAATATATAAATAATATAGCAAGCCTTTGATATCTTGGGTTTCACCCTCCAAGAGAAGCAGGATGTCTACAGGATCACCGCCGCTGTCATGCACATGGGTGGCATGAAGTTCAAGCAACGTGGTCGCGAAGAGCAGGCTGAACAAGATGGCGAGGAAGAGGGTGGCCGTGTTGCCAAGTTGTTCGGCTGTGATACCGCCGAATTGTACAAGAACTTGTTGAAGCCCCGCATTAAGGTCGGTAACGAATTCGTCACCCAGGGTCGTAACGTGCAACAGGTCACCAACTCTATTGGTGCTCTCTGCAAGGGTGTGTTCGATCGTCTCTTCAAATGGCTGGTCAAGAAGTGTAACGAAACTCTGGATACTAAGCAAAAGCGTCAACACTTCATTGGTGTACTGGATATTGCTGGTTTTGAAATTTTCGACGTAAGTATGACGCGGTCCACTTCAAAGACAAAAACTAAAAATAAAAACGACAACGCAGAGACACAACTTGTGTGTGAGAAGTTTATGCGAGTCATGTGACGGCGTGCAAATTTCTGTACGCGCTCATGAGTCGCATGCCTACTTGCGCACGAGTTCGGTGCAGCTGACCTGCCAGCGAGTGTGTGTACTCTTGATTGGTGGCAGGCACTGTGTCGTCTGGTTGTATGTATGTACACTAACTTGTCTCTCCCAACGCTGACATGACGCGAAGAGTACTAAAGTACATACAATCAAGAAACTTTACACATACATAAAAAGACGATATGGAGAACAGAAAAGATTATAAAATCGTAGAATTCTAGTAAATATATACA